CTAAATAGAGACATTCACTTAATTTTAACATTTTCCCTTTCTTTATAGTTCAAGAAGATCATTTCTTTATAACTTTTTTTGAACTGTTTTATCTTTGGTCATTGCTTTAATTCCATATTCAAACTGTTCTACAGTTTCACTCCATGCACAGAAACAAAAAGCTTTTTCTTGCAGTACATACCTCCCTTAAATTATAACTTCTTTCCAAAAAAACATACTCTGAATATTATTGCAAAAATAGTGAGTTTGTATGATCCCCATAAGCTGCATTGTGGATGATTCGAACAACTTTTTTTGAAGAGTACAAAGGGATTGTAATGTTTTTTAAGTTTTTCATCCATTATTTTCCCCAGTAATCAATTTTCACTGTCTCTTTCAATATCAACACCAGTACTATTTCCAAATAACATAATTTTAGTTTTATTCAAATTTAATGATAATTTGTTTTTATCCAGCCAGAACTTTTCTTTACTTATTTCATTAGTCATATGATCCAATAAATTCTGCTTCCATAGTGTTTCTGTTTTTTTATTTTGTTTTTTAAGTGTTTGACGCGCTCCGATGGCACATGCATGTGGGTTTGGTATACAGCCTTTTGAATCTTTCTCCTTTCATAAAATCACATTTGATTCCTCAGTAATCTGCAGTTTAATGTATTTTTAATTTTTCTGGAGGGAGTAGTGAATATCTATGTAGTTCATGTGGTAATGAAAATATGTTGTTATAATTGTGCTGCACAATCAGAATCATTTATCATTTAGAATCATTTATTTGGCCAAGTTTGTGCGCGCAAACAAGGACGGTTCACTTTGCTCTCTGCATGCAAAGGAAAAACAACATTTTTGCCATGTTACGGCTCTTCTATATAATAAATACACCGTTTAACCTACACATTCACTGAGTGTCAAAATTATGCATACAAATAAAATAACAAATATAATTTGTTATAATTGTAGATACATTTGTTGTGCATTTTCTTCTTTTCCTTCTTTTCAGTTTGGTGTCATTCTTGATGGTGCCACTAGAAGACACCAAAATAAAAAGATTTCTTGTACAGAATTCTACCTTCACCTGCTCTGCTCAATTTGTTTTCATTCAAATTACTATCCTGCCATCCTTGAAAACAGTGCCAAACTGTAACAGTGCTGTCGGTTATTGTATGCCTTTCCTTGCAGCTATGTTGTATTGGTTGCTCGTGCTTGATTACCTACACTTTGCCTACCTTAATTCTGTGTATTTCATTGCATGTTATTGTCTGTTGTTATGTTATGCTTGTTATGATTGTATAAAGCATATTTAGTTAATGCTTTATTTTATTTTTCAGATGTATTCAGCTGTTCTTTTAACTTTCTTTTTAGCCTTGCCCCCATTTTCTTCAAGGGACTTGTACCATCAGAAATAAGAAAGCATACTTAATAACTTAGCAGGTTAAATAAAGTTATGTTTGCAGTGTAAAAAAATAATAAGTAAGACAAGTATTTGCTTCCAACATGTTGTACCTGTTGGTCTGTTGACCTGTCATCGAGCAGAAGGTGAAAAGGCTTCTGACTAATTGTTATAATACAAATAGTACAAGATGATATAAACATGTGTTTTCTCCACAGATACCTGATCCTTCCATCACAAAGAAAGACCAAGAGATTTTAACACACATTACTGTGATTGGCTGTAGTATTTCCCTTTTTACTTTGGTCATAACCATTTTGCTCTTTATTACAAACAGGTAATAAATTCATTTTTTCATGTTCTTCCCATCTTCATCAGTCCTTCCTCTTTCACACTTTTAGTACCTCCTGTAATCTGATTTGCCTCTGCTGTTGTCCCCTTTTCTCAAACATCCTCATACCTTTGACATATGAGTAGCCTGTTTTTATCTTTCAGTTGCCTTAAAACATACTGAAATCTTCCTCCATTCACTGGCATTCACTGATCTTCTTACAGCAAATGCTATTCTTACTCTATAAATAACTCTTCATCATTTCTTTCTTCTCTTGTTATGGTCTACCATTCCTCCAGTTGTGATACAGTATGTTACTTAACACAGATCAATTCTCTGTGTGACAGAAAACTCAGACAAGATGTCTCTATGAAGGTCCACATCAACCTTGTAATTGCCCTGATGCTCCTCAACCTGCACTTCCTGCCCAGTCAGGCAGTGGCAGCAGGGTCTTCCTCTGGACTTTGCTTATACATGGCTCTTTTACTTCATTATTCTCTGCTAGCCACTTTCAGCTGGATGGCCTTGGAAGGTTTCCACTTATATCTTCTCTTAGTCAAAGTCTTCAACATCTATGTCAAGAAATACCTGCTCAAACTCGGCGTGGTCGGATGGGGTGAGTGGAATCAATTAGGGAGGGAGCTGTCATTATCAATGCGGATGTAGATATTAATTAATTAATTTTGATCAAGGTGTCCCTGCCATGATTGTGTCAGTGGTGGTGATCATAGACAGAACGTTTTATGGCCTTACCCCTCTGGACGCATCTAACTCCTCCAGTACTGCAATGTAAGATTTGCCAGCATGTAAAATCAAGAATAATGATTCACATTTTCACATTTACTTATTAACTGTTTTGCCAATCAGAGTTTCTGTAAACATGCATGTTGGAGAAGCAGAAAGCTCCTTTTCACCAAGCAT